GCACGGTGCTCAGGGTCTTAGAAAAGGAATGCACATTCTGGTTGTAAAAGCTTTACGTCCAGGGAAACTGCAGAGGGCTTTAATCGCCCTGGGAGGCAAGGCACTGGAACCCATCTTGCCAAACACTGGCTCCAGGCCTGAAGGAAAGCCCACCGGTCTTGTCTTCTCCTTGGGGGACTAGAGGATGGCGTCCTGATAACCTGTTGATCCCGTACAGCTCTGTTCAGCACTCTGGAATTCTGTTTCCTCCGCCACTTCCAAATTTCCAAAGATTCTCCAATCTCAGTAAGGTGTGGTCGGCTTTTTCTTGTTTCCCAACCTAGGGTCCTGACATAAGGATGCTAACCCGTGTCCGGCACCAAACCTTAGGCATGGCTCTTTCAACTTCATTGATAACTTTCAATGAGAGACTGGGAAGATGTCTTCAGGCTTGATTTATAGACCCATGAAAATTCCTCTAACAGCCCCTGCTCCATTGCACCAAACCTGAAGTGCGACATGGCCCAGCTGCCATGCCCTCCCAGCTTGCAGCTGACCCCTAGACAGCCAGGAGGCCAGGAAGTGGGCACAGATAACTGATGTGGATGGTTCCAGAAACAGCACATCCTTCCTATCAGAGCCTGAATACACTATAGCACATGGAAAGTAGCCTTTATTTCTTCCTATAAAAATGAGGCCAACTATTCCCATAAAGATTCACAGCCTCAGACATCCTATAGGGTTGGAACCTATCCAATGGCAGGAAGTTTTTGTTTAGGAGTATTCTTATAAGTAAAGAACAGCATACAACCAGAAATATTCCATAACCAACAGTCACTCTGGTTCAAAAGCTGTCCGGGTAGAATTAAAAACCTTGACCCCCCCACTCCACTTTGTGCCCTGGCCGGTCTCCGTTGGCTACTGGAGACTGTCCCAGTGCACATAGATTCTTCCCTACCTGACTGTCACCTGGTCCTAGGGCTGAGGGGGACCATAGAAGTCTACCATCTCCTGGTCTCCCCACATTAGGAAGGCCCACTTATGTGGCCTGTGAGCTTATCTTCCATAGCTAGCCCCCTGGCATCATGCTGAGGAGACAAAGAAAATCTCTTCTCCCGGCATTTTTATATCCCTAGCTCAGGTGACGAACCATCTTATTCTCAACCCAACTAATAAACTTCCTACTGCTTCGTGCCCAACCCCCCACCCCCACCCCAATGACTTCCTGAAGAAGGGATGACTTGTATCTTTTTAACCTTGGTGAAAAGCATTAATGAGGAGCCCTCAGCATAGTGGCTGAGAACAAGATAACCAGTTTGAAACCACCAGCTGCTCTGGGGGTGAAAGATGAGGCTCTCTACTCCCTTAAAAGAGTTCCAGTCTTGGAAATCCACCGGGGCAGTTCTAGCCTGTCCACTAGGGTCAGTGTGAGTCGGCATGGGCTCGGTGGCGGTGAGTTTGGTTTTTGGTAGCAAGCATTGAGCCTCAGTGGTGTGGGGGATCTTCTCCATGATGGGAGGCAAAAGACTTCTCTGCGGTCTGAGGTGCCAGTCAGGAGAAGAGTGGAGAAAATCATGGTTTCTTGGCTTGGCTGAAGCACTGGCTCTTGACACTTCACGGACAGTCTCAAAAAGCTTGGGGGGTGGGCGGGAGCTATGACAAGGCTACAAGTTGGGGAAGGAAATGGGAATAAGGTGTGGCTTCCCCCCCCCACCCCCCATTTGAATGCAGTCCTCTCGACACCTCATCCTGTGCCTCTGGGGCATTCCTTGGAGTCCTGTTTGAGTACCGGCAGTGTATCAACAATGTGCAGGGCTCTGGGGAGCCAGAGGCGAGGACAGAAAGAAGTTGTAGTCTTTGAAGTCAAAACGAGTAAAGAGTTGAAAAGAAAAAACAAGAAGCCAGGTAATTATTTGAACTGAGACAAGTAAATGTGTATTAAGGAAGTCAGAGGAGGAGCACTTTCCTGGTGGTTTGGACTAGCGGCTGGGCTATCTGGTCCATGGTCCTGGTCCTGGGGTCCAGTCTGAGAGGCAGAACACAGGATGGTAATCCACAAGAGGAGTCTCCCTGTATCTCAGATGCTGATGCCTGAGGGAACGATGATGACAGAGGAGTCGTACAAGAACATGGGTGGTGACTGGTCAGTTTTCTACATTCAGCTGAAGACAAGGAGAGGTGAAGGTGGAAAGGTCCCAAGGGGACATCTCAGAAGTCCAGGTACCCGGAAAGGGGAGCCATCCTTTCCCTACTAAAGGAGAAGAGGAACCACCTCTACCAGGGGTGGTAGAGGCAGACACACCCAGACATGCCATTACCATCCCCAACAGCTGAACCAGGCAGCTAATTATGGCTTTGGACTTCTGGCAAAAGCATTCCTGGGGCTTCTACACACACACACACACACACACACACACACACACACACACACACAAGCCCCTGGGGCTTCTACACACACACAGCTTTCTGGGGCTTTTACACACACACACACACACACACACAGCTTCCTGGGGCTTTTACACACACACACACACACACACACACACACCATGCACTGCTCTTCTCTCTCAATTCTCCTTCCTCATTTCCACCCCCACTACCAAATCTCTCCATTTTTTCTCTGGCGGGTCCCTTTCAAAAGGTGTATCTATTATGTCATACTATATGCTAATTCTACCCATCACACACATACACACACACATACACACACACACACTGCCCACAACTTTGCCTAGCTCAGTCAATTACTGGAGAGCTGTAGGCCACACCCAGCTGTTGGCCTTGTGTGTATCTGAAAGAGAAACAGCCTATCAGTGCTGGAAATGGGTTTTTCAAGAGCATCTAATCCAAACCCATTCACTTTGCAGTTGAAGAAACGGTGGTTAGCAAGGCAATGTGCCTTATCTCAGAGCATATAATTAGGAGTGTTAGAACCAGGACTAGGCCTCCAGAATCTTCCCGACTCTTCCATGGCATTCTTATTTGAAGGCCTGACAACAAATTTGATGTCTAGAGCTCACCCAATCCTTTACCCCAAATTCCTGGAGTCCCGGTGACGTAGTGGCTATGTGTTGGGTTGCTAACCTCAAGGTCAGCAGTTCAAAACCACCAGCTGCTCCACAGGACCAAGCTTAAGCTTTCTATTCCTGGAAAGTTACAGTCTCAGAAACCCACGGGGCCAGTGCTACCCTGCCCTATAAGGTCATGATGGGTTGGAATCAACTCGATGACACTGAGTTTCGTTTTCGACGCACTTGGAATCCCTGAGTGGGTAAAAAAATTAGTTAACTCACTAGGCTGCTAACCAAAAGGTTGGAGGGTTCCCTGCTTTCCAGATACCTGACAACAAAAGTCTGGTGGTGTACTCCCCAAAGAGCAGCTCTGAAAACACAATGGTGGACATTTCTACTCCGGTGGGATCAGCATGAGTCAGTCTACTACATTTACTGGCAGGGACTTATATCTGTTAGGCATTGTCACTGAATTCCCGAAGCAACTCTAGTACACTAGAATTGGATCATTTAACAAATACGTAGGGAGTGCCCAGTGTGTGACAGGCATGTTTTGGAATATATCTCTGAGCAAAGCAGTTGAACAAAAGGGAACAAGGGCAAGGAGAGAGAAAACGAGACAGAGAGAGAGAGAGAGAGGGAGAGAGAGAGAGATTGATTAAGGTTCGGCTGGGGTCACACAGGTGGTAAGTAACAGGCCTGGGCTGGAAGGCAGTTTGTCAGAGATGCTCAAAGTCTGTAGGTGCCCTTAAACTCCACGCTGCCCCACTCTCTCCAAAGACTGGAACTGAGGGCTAGCGTCTGCAGGGACAAGAAGAGGGTCTGGAACCATCTGGGGGTAATGAGGATCCCTGCAGGGTTTTGAGCAGGGGAGTGGCAGACACGCAAAGGTGGCTGTTTGCCTTTGGGCGGTCTTCACTGAGAGTGAGTTCAATCTGAGGCTAGCCACCCTGGCAGCATCCCACACACCCCTTGTGGCTGGGGCTGACACTCCCTGGGTAGAGCGCCGGCTCCCTGGCCCTGCCCGCTTTTAGCGGATTATCCCTGCGCACCCTCGGGCTCCCAGCCTCCTGTAGCACCTGGCACCTTGGCACCCTGCGTAACTGGCTGGCCCTTTGTCCGACCAGAGCTTGTGAGCTCGGTCTCCCGCCTCGCTCAAATGCCAGAAGTTCAAAGTGAGAGTGGTAGAGAAAATGATAGTGTTAGAAAGGGGCTAGGTGACATTAATAGCTATAAACTTGAAACGTGCCTCGCCTTTCACCTGAAACTCAGCTCCTGGGAAGGCGCTGGAAGAATTGTTAGTTGAACTGCAATGTCAAAAGCGCGGGAGTGCCAGCGCTTTGGGCTCCCGTCAGCAAAACTGGGCGTGGTGAAGCAATGCCCCTAAACTGCCAGTCGGGTCCCCAAACCTGGCCTTTTTAGCCGGGGGGGGCGGGGGGGGGCGGGATAAGCCCGGGGAAAGGGAACTGATGAGTCAGAGGAGGTGAAACAACTCAGGGGGCAGCAGCAAGGAGAGACGGAGACGGAGAAGGGATGGATCAAGTGAAGGAAATCAAAGCAGCAAGAAGGGCGCACAAAGTGGGCGTTGAGAGCGAGCCAGGTAGGGCCGGTCCAAGAAAGCAGGAGAGGCGGGGTGGACCGACTGAGCAGGGAGGGCCGCGGTGGGGTGGCGCTGGCAGATTGGGGAGCCCGGTCCTCGCTGGGCAGCCGGCGCGCAGAAGCCCGAGGACCAGAGCAGTCCCGGCGTTCAGCTGGGA